TCTGGCTTCATCGTTAGGCAACGCCGTCAAAGGCCTCTGGAAAGTCAAGCCAGGAAAAAAAAATAACTTGAGGACTGAGGGGAACTTTGCAATAACCAGCTAGTTCCCACACGTGTAATTATGCCCAGTACCCTACAAATTGTTAAAAGAGCCAGAAAGGAATAAAAAATATGGATGCAGCAGGGAGCTGAAGAGGGGTTTGATATGCATACCAGCTAGTCTTTAATAGCCCGATAGAAAAAAATCATGCTACTCTGTGGGGAAAGGACCGTCACCATTACTAGCAAGCAAACCAAAATACCTGCCTGTAGGACGGCCCCGTGCCCTGCATCTCCTGGTCCTCCTGCCTGCAGATTTTGAGTTGCTGTTGAACTCCAGGGGCTTTTCATCACGATTTCTTCGGCACAAGGATGCACCTTCCCCACCACGCCGGGGGGAGCGGGGGGCCCTGCCAAGCCATGATGGCCGCGTTTCCCCAGCTGTGCCAGAAAGGTGCGCCTAAGATGAGAGGGCAGCAGCGGGTACTGCGCCAGGCAGAGTCTTCACTTTTTTTCCCACCACTCCTCTGAGGGGAAAGAAACACAAGCAACTATGAAAATCAAACACTTTTTGACCGTAACAAACCATAAATCACAAGATCAGCTGTCTGCCCCTCGCTCACCTCACCGGTACAGCGACTCGGTTGTGCCTTGCTGGTACTGCCTGCGTTACGGTCATCAGGCGACAAAGCAAGGAGTTAAAATTGATTAATTGATTAGTACATTAAATAGGTATGCCTGCTCAATTATTGACAGGTTTGTTAATGGATTGCTATTTAAACGATTATGATATTTTAAATTACATGTTATTTTATAGATGCACATTTACTTAAAAAAGGAGCACCCCTTGCATTTATTAACGTATTAGAGAGAAAATAAAACATCCAGGCTGATATAATGCACAATGTGGCATTACTCTGGGTGCTTCCTAAGCTAGGGAACTCTTATTTGTTTAATAATAAGTCGTTCATGAATATGCAAATCTGCATCAGTGCAGTACCTCACTGCTGTCACTATTAATGAGTTGCAAATTAATGTGACAACAAAAGGAAAATCTATTTAGTGGCAGGATTGTGGTTCATACCTGGCTCAAGAGAGCAACCGTCTACAGTCACATCGGTCTGCTGGAGCAAAATGTGCACACAGAGTGGACAAGGTTTGCTTTGGGGCTGGCAAACCAGAAATAAGCAACGCACTGCCTTCACCCCCAAGCTCAAGGGTAGAAGGCATCATTGCTGCTAATGATTCATCACACTTAACTTGCAGGAAAATACAATCTCTTCACTCTGCAATCACGGTGAACCCATGCAAAGCACACTGACGGATGAAATGCAGAACTAGCAAGACTGATGTAGGTGGGAAGACCGTGTGGCCACCTAGACACAGTACTTACAGAGAACTTCGTCTTCTTCAGATCTGTTTGGGGATTTTTTTCCTCTGACAACACTACAAGCTCACAAAGTGAAACTTGTGGGATTCCAGTCACCACCTTCTCCTGCCCCTCCTCCTAGCAGAAATGCAATGGTGAATAAGCACAATGAGAAAAGACCTAATATACATCTTCAGGACTGTGGCATTCAACTCTCCTGTCTTGTGTAGTGGTGCCAAGCCCTCTCCTACCAACACTGGACCCATACTGAAATGAAAATACAATGTTCTGCAAACAATTTTAAACAGATATGATAGTGGTCTTTTCAGTTAGTTTGCATCTGTACAAGTTTAAAGTAGCAATGTGTGCCCTTTCCCTGTACGAACTGAAGAAATGATGCTGAATGTTTACCAGCAGTCCCGCAGAGCCTGGGAATGGCAGCTGCCTGCATTTACCACTCCTGACACCTTGTTCATATTAATGCACAAACGATGGGGCTCATCTATAGTTTTGTTGTTTAGCACAGAAATGAAGGGAGGAGTCAGCTTTAAACTCTTTGATTCATGGAGTGAGCTTGGCCCCTGGGAGCAGTTTTTAAGACAATTTCCATTCTGCTCCTGTAATCCTACAAACTAGAAGCTGGGTCAGGCTTCCAGCAAGCATCTGAGCTCTCCCTTTAGCAGATTGCTCCCCAAAGACCACCAACAAGGGCCAAAAGCCTCTGGCCCTTGCTTGCCACTCACCCTATCGGTGTCTTTGGCGCAAGTCTCCAGCTAGGCAAAAGAGGGGGGACAACAGCAAAGCAGAAGAACCAACAGTGTCTGGAGGGAGAAATAACCCACATGGGAAGCTCCCAGGTCTGACCCCATCACGCAGAACCCAGCCCTCTTGGGTAAGGCAAGGCGGCAAAGGCGGTAGTTCAATATTCTGTGGTCCTCAGCAGCATTGTTTATCTGCTGCTGTGGCTTCCCCCCGCCCTGCCCACAGCCGGCCTGGAGCCGCGTATTTCCTGGGATTCCCCAGCCAGCACCAAGTAAAAGTTTGACAAAGGAAACTCCCTTCCGTGAGGCTCACCTGCCCGCTCTAGCCGGAGATGGGTTTTTTCGCTGTTGCGCCAGCGGTTCTCCTACACCTCCACGGGGCAGCACAGCCTCCCAGCCAGGCAAATCCAAGTGATAAGCAGGGGAAACTCAGGGAAACACCTTGGCTTGGGCCCCAACAGCATCAACACTGCACTTTCGCCTTGAAGAAGGCAGGACACGGGATCAGCAGGGTTTTACCATCCCCAAAGGCTGCATTTCTGTTTCCTTATTTTTTTATTAACTTGGAGCAATGCCAGCAGTGTGAAGCGAGTCTCCTTGGCCCATGGAGGATGCACAGGAAAGAGCTTTAAAGGAGAGCAGCGTGAGTCCAGAAGCTGAAATGCTGAACATCAGCCCCCTCCCAGCCCTGCCCTGCCGCGCCGGCTGGGGCTAGCTCAGTCCCCGGCTCTGCACCGTGCAGGACCCAGCCAGCCCCGATGCTGGCAAGGCAGCCAGCGGTTCGACTCCCTGCCTACACTCGCTGCCACTGAGTTCGCTCCCTGCCGGCATGCTGCCATCTCTCCTCTCCCCAAGGCAACTATTCCCTGGGCTTGCCTACTGCAAAACTATGCTTGCAGCCAGCCTCTCCCGTGACAGTCTCTCCCAAACCGCCCAGAACAGGGTCAGCCAAGCCAGCCTCGTGTGCCCAGCAGCGCGGGATGCTGCCCTGCTCCTTCGCTGAACCCTCCGTGCTCTCTCAAGCACCCTCGCACGCCAAAGTCTCTTTAAGAAAAGCACATCCTAGAGAAAATAAAACGGTTGCGTTATGTCAAGTGACAGCACCGCCATCAGGTGTTCCCCGCCATGGCCCTATTTTTAGAGTGCAGACGAGCCCCGGGGCAGGCACACGCTTGCATTACAATTGCATGAGGCTGTTACTGTATTTGAGCACGGATGCAAGCGCCAGCATGGAGAAGGCCCAACTGTACTCGGTGGAGATAGTGGAAAGCTGACTAAGCGGAGACGTTTGGGGAGCACGTGCTCAAGATCATTTGAGGAGGAGCCGGCCAAAAGAGGAAGCCGCATCAATCTTCTGTTTGCCTGCAGGGCACAGCAAGAAGTGAGGTGTCTGCCACGCACCCCTGGAAGTGGTACGAAGCTGATTTATGCTCAGCTCAAAGCATACAAGCATTACGCAGCTGATCAGATAAACGTGTCTGTAACAATTGCTTTTTACCGTTCTCCCTCACCTTAGTTTTTCTGGCCCACCTCTGCTTTCCGGGGAGATCAGGGGGTACAAGCAGCCGGCACTGGAGAGTAGGGATGTCTGTGTTTCAGTTCGTTGCAAAGCTGGAGGCTGGCGTAAAAGGAAACCCAGGGTGCACGCATGAGCTGTACAGGAGAGACCATCCTCATCCTTATCCGAAGTCTGGAGAAAGATGTCAGTGGCTGTATTAGGACTAAAAATTCCCTGTCCTGTGCAGAAATGGGACTTCAGCTGCCAGCAGCAGACAGCTGTTGGACCCCTCTCACACCTCTTGGCTCAGCTACAAAACCACCTTACCCCCAGAAGCAGTCCCACTGTAAGCCACGCAGGGCAAACGTTTGGCAATAGACTCAATGGCAACACACCACAAGAGGCATCAGCTCCGCGTCTTTCCCTCTGGGGCACTTTCAGGAATGAGGCGTTGTTCTCCCTTACCTTCAGGACAAGGGCAAGTCACACCCTTTCTTATGCTCCTCCCAGAGCACAAGATTTAACCTGCAGTACGCTGTCCATTAATCAAAACCTCTGAGCCTCACTGCTCCAGATGGAGAAACTTTTTCCCAGATGCCTTTCTCAGATGGACGGGGTGCTCTGCTTGAGACCCTTTTGGTGGGTGTCCTGGCCCTCATCAGAAAAGCAGCGCAATTTAAGCATCTCAGCTGAAGCGTTTGGCTATCACAGGACATACTACTGTTAAAAACAGCCCCAAAGCAAAACTCAGACTTTGGGTTCACAGCGGGAACTTCTTTCCAGAGGGGAAAGGCAGACCCAGACCCTTAAGACAGGGCCTGCCCAAGCCCTAGGACTCCAGCCTCTTAAGATGCGAGTCCCCAAGCTGTGTAAAAGTGACATTCTCTTCACTGTCCCTTCAGGTCCCCCCAAAGGGTGCTCTTAGCCTTAATGCTCCACACTGAAACTAAAGCATTTACCCTGGTACTATTTTCCTCCCCTCTGCAGACACCAATGAAAAGAGAATTCAGTCGATTCAACTTAAAACGATGACAAAGGAGGAAAAATAATTGAACCTATTCACAATTCTTTCACTAAAAGGCAATGCAGGAAGTACTGTGAATACCGCTTTCAAACCTCTGTCCCACAAAAGACGCCTGCTCGATGTTTTCTCGTAACCTTGAATTTAGAAAGCCGATGCAGATTCCACCTCAGATTTCATCAGCTGCTCGCCAGCACCTATGCCGGTTCTGTTCCGCTTCGGGAACCGCTCACGGAGCCTCCTTTCATAAACATTAATGAGTCGGAGCTCATTCCGCAACCAGGCACAGAATTAATGGGAGTCACTTTAGCCTCTTCATTTCTCAACAGTTTTATTGCCTTTAAGAAAATTTTTGTAAAATATAAATACAAAGGCAGGAGATTTACTTACAAAGTTAAAACACAGATCTCAAACATAAACACACAATTCAGAAAATTTAGTTTATGTACAGTTTCAAGCAACTTCAACATATGTTAGTTTTTCAATATTTTACAAGGTACAGAAAAAATAGTTCAAAGTCTTCTTTAAATAAAGAGCATAAAATGTTTAAACATATATAAACAATCCGGTTTGATGTGTGAAAACTAAATTTCACAGCTTTTAAATTAGGATATAAAAGTTCTTACAATTAGTTGATGCGTATGGATATGGTTTAATTTATATTACAAACTATTGAATTATATTCAATAGTGCTTACCTGGCCAAAGCAGGTAATTCTGTAAACAAAAAAACAAAAATAATATCACCAAGTGCCTTACTGAATTCTGTCTCCCAAACAAGCCACACGACTTTGATCACATCACCTAGAAAAAGTATGTTCTGTGTAATCAGTGCTTTGTATGAAACAAAGTCAATGTGTGGGTGTGTTCTTTAAAAAAAAAAATGTGTTCCGAGTAATAACAAACTTATCCCAAAGCCTGTGTGCATTTAAAGAAACATTATATAACAATTTTGTAAAAACTGATTGAAGTTAAAAAAAAATTCTTCCAAAATCCATCCAACTGGAATTCAGATCTCTTATATAAAGGAAAGATATTTTCATATTTAATAGTGTCCTTTCTTTACAGAAACAATTGCATTTGAACACATATACATAAAGAAGTAACTGTATAGAGTACTGTACATTAAATGGCCTGATGGTTCACCAGAGGATGTCGAAGGGAGGGTCCTCGTGCGGATGCAACCAGTGAAGCGAGGAGCCGAGCAAAGTCTTGAGTTCGCTTGTAAACTCTACCAAGTCCAACAGCTCTTTGCTCTCCGGGTTAAAAGCTTCAAGGTCCGTAGCGCAAGAGAACAACTGGCTGAGGGAAGTCTGTTTGTAAAACTCTGCCTCCGTGATGGTCACAACTTCCAGACTGGGGAAGTTGCAGCGGAAGATGCGAGATGACATTTTTAGCCTCTTCACCACGTCCGAGAGCAAAAGCCAGTTTCGTGGTCTGTGGAAGCGAAGGAGAAACAGGCTCCAATAACTGACATTAAGTCACGGGCTTCTTGACTCTTCACCGTATCACTGTGTGACAAACCCTCCCCGCAAAAACAACCCCCCCTGAAATCAAGGCCATTGCCCAGGGGGCCAAATATAACAGATGTGCCGGCACGTACATATTTGCTCATACTACCGCTGCCCGCAGCTTCGGGGAAGGAGGGGGACTAAGCACGCAGGGGCACTGGAGCCTACAAACCCAGGACTCGCGAGCGTGCGCAGGTCAGCAGCCATCCCGACGGCTGCTCACACCGTTAAAGGTTCACCCGGCTGAGCCTGGCTCTCATTTAGCAAGTTAGGAGATGGCTTACAGTTAAAACCAGAAATTTCAGCACCTCTGACTTCCAGAGATGCCAATATTAAATACAAGTCCACAGAGGGTTGTTTTTCTCAGATTAAGAATATGATTTTTTAATTCAGTCTTTGTACTTGTCCACTGCAGAGAACTTAAGTTATATCCATCACCCAAATAATAAAAACATGCTAAAACCCGCAATCCCGCATGATTAATATTCAAAACTATTTTTCCCACGGCTGTCATCAAAATTGGTGCAGATGACAAACAGTAGCTGTTTACAAAGCTAATTTATATCTTGAATGTAACAGATAATAAAACTTTCCAGGTCTTTGCTTATTATTAAGTGTCATAGCATCTTCTGTAAGATGCTTATTTGTTTGATCCAATTCAGAGCTTTAAACCAGTTTTGCTGCGAAGTCTAGAACAGCAGTAACGGTGTCATTTCGTCATCCACAAAAGCATGGCCACTCAGCAAAGCAGAAAGGCCCGTTAAATAAAATTAAGACCACCTTACAAACATGATATCCAAATTTCAGTGCTAGATGCACTTGTATTTTGGGACGTTATACCAAGGTGGGAGGAATGCCTGCCTGGGAGAAATTTTTGTTCAAACATCACTCGTCCCGCTCAGGAGTACAGACTCAAAACACAGCCCCAACAAGTCAGCCTTTCCCCCTCTCACCTCCCATTAGCTTATTTCTAAAAAGCCCGGCGGTTACAGTATTGCTTTCTCATTTATGTTGGATATATGCAAATGCTTTTCCCCATGGACACGAACTGCCATCATCCCAAGCAGATCGCCTCAGCTATTTTTACCCCAAAACCTGTATTTGTTCTTACCCCTGAGAGAGACACACTTGAATGTTGTAACACGGCAAGGGAGGCTCATCCGAAAATTCAAATTCGAACACATCGCTAAAGCCATCTTCATCTTCATCACCTGGGCCGGGCGGATTTGCCAAGATGTCAAATCCAGATTCATCTTTTGGATCTAAATAAAATTGAATAAACGTGCCAAGTCAGCATTGAAGAGACTGTTGCAGGTCTTGCTTTTTCTTCCAATAACGTGATCTGTAAATAAAATCAGTTTCCTTCCTTCCTAGCTTCCTCCACCATAAAAACAAAACAGTCCCCACCCCCACGTGCCGCATGTTTTGAAAGTCTCCACATACAAAGAAATAAAGGGTAACATTTGCTCACCGCACACAGAGCTGCCATAGAAATCCCAGTACAAACCAGGGTCATCAACACTTCGACCTTGCAGGTCAGTTAAATACTCTGGAGAGGAAAAAACAACAACAAAAACATACTGATGAGAACAAAAAGCTGGCAAGTTTAGCAGACCGTGTGTCATACAGTCTCACTATGCATCCTCCATACCTTCCATCAAATAAAACCCACACCGTATTATTCCTGATACACGTGCTACAAAGAACAGCATATACACACATCATTCTCGCAAATACTCCTGGAATTAGCTTTTCTCCTGCATCCTTTCTCCCATCACATCAAGTAGCGACCCACCCCATCAAATAATCACCCACAGTCTAAAATGGACAGACCCAACCTTAAGCTTCAGTAACTGAGAGCGGCATTTTATTTCTGTGAAGGACAGGATGTGGCATGGTTTTTAGCCTGCACAGTTATTCTGGACACCAACCTGGGGGTGAAACAGTGGCCCCAAAAAAACTGATGGAAAAGGTTTTTCCACATAGATACATTCAGAAGATGTAATTCTTTTCTACAGACATAATTTGGGAGATTTGCTGGTTGAGGTGATGAAAAGATACTGGGATTCAAGACACTAACAAGTCCAAGATACCAGACTTCACTGGAGTCCTGATACACCTATGCACTTTCTACACTGCACCATTAGAACAAGTGGATGAGTACTTAAACTCATTGACTGTGAACACTGCAAACATTTTCAGAGGTAAAGTTATTAAGGAATGCAAGTGCCTCTATCCGAAACTGACAAGAAAAAAAACTAAAACCATGTTAGAACATGGACATGTTTAAAGACAAGATCATTTAATACAGTTTTACAGCATTTCAGCTATAAAATGAGGCAGAACTTGCAAAAAGACAAGTACTAGAAGGATAAAAAGCAAGACCAGGAGACAGCATGATTACGTTTAACGAACAGCTATTCAATTTGGCAAGTTTATTTTCATTTCAAGCAGAAAAATGAAGGCACCGAAACAGCCTGCTGACCTCCTACCTATCAAATCTGATAGTGGCATAATCCTTATGACTTATTAAAAGTTTCAATTAGAAGGAGCTCCCATGCATGGCTATGCTTCCCACCTGCAGCAGCTGGGTTTTTGCAGGCAGAGAGGGAGCTACTGCAGCCTACCCTAACGCTCCTCAGCGTGGAGCCATCCCCACCGGGCGGCAGGGACTTTGGGGGGCCAGGGACCGTCGCCTCATTTGCCACGACCAGCAGAGCCCCGTGCAATGTGGCAACGCACCTGTGAGGAAGGTCTCCATGAGCTCGCTGTGGGTCATTTTCACGATGGTCCTCCCAGAGTAGGTCGCAAGCGTTGGATCAGCACCGTAAGACAGTAACAGGCGGACAATTTCCAAGTGATCGTTTTCGACCGCATCATGGATTGGTCTAGGGAAATAAAAAAGATCACGGCGTTACCTTTTGACTCAATACTATTACGCAAATGCATTTGACAAGAAACTTCTGACTTCAGATCAAAGTTATTTATAGAAAATAACACTATTAATACAGCTGCCAATCATCTCATTGTCGGTTTTACTTGCACATCATCCCCTCCCCTCCTGTCTTTTCACAGTCAGACTGCTCGGGGCAGATATGTCTGTTACGTCTATTCATTGCCGTACATATTTCGAGGGCCAGTAAAATAATTACACTGCTGTAACAGAAAGCAGGAGTTTGCATGAAGCCTCACTAACATCATTTTGCTGTAAGTCACTCTACCGTTCCAAATCTCTGCCAATTTAACAGCATGTTGTGGAGTAAGGGCTCATTCAGCCTGCCTGTGGGCAAGCACGGAAATCAGTTACCCAAAGCTCCTAAATTATGTACACAGAAATAAGTTATGAAAATTTGCTGGGAATTAAACTTCTGCGCTATATCCTCTTTAAATAGCACTTGCCAATATATTTGCAGCACAATTCAACCCTTCTACTCGGAGAAGAGAAAAACATGTTATTTTAAGTTTAGTCCACCCAGAAGTTAATGCATTTTACGCAGCATGAGCAATCTATACAAGCTCAGACATAGATTTTGTGAGCCTACAGAAGGATTATTCATTAATACACATGCCTGCAATTCCAGGTTTAGAATTCCTTATCGCTAATTATAAATCGCATTAACTTTTGCCTTTAAAATTGATTGTACGTAAGGGGGAGTTGTCTGGAAGTAGAACATATTACCCTTCAGGCTAATGAAGATGTGTTAAAATCCCATCTTTTCCTTAGACAGCAATGACCAGGGAACGGAAAGAGGAGTTAAATGCAACGGCCACTGATCATGGCAGCTCAGCTGAACTCTACATTCCTCCTCCTTTAGGCTGTCAACACTGCTGCCCCCCAACAAGGCTTTCAAGCTCTCACACAGATGTATTAAAAGGTAAGAAAAATAAGGAAGGACTTTAACTAGGATCACATACTGCCTTCCTGGAAAGCTTTCAGAATGACATTACAAGGGGAAGTCATCTGGAAGCACAGGCAAGCAAACTCCTCAACTCCGTCTACCAATCTGCCAAGCAACGCTCGGCTAACAACCAGGGCTGCAAAGAGGTCGCGTCCCACCACTCCTTCAGCCACACGCGGCAATGTCCCCTCTACGTCACCACCGCTTCGGTACGGGCCGGCATCCATGTGAGCTCGGGACAGAGCAGAGGCAGATCAAAACAGTCAGAAGAGGAAGGCACACCGCCGTTTTCCCACCTATTACACAGCGCTGCTGGTGCGAGGGGGACTCCGATCCACCTCAGGAAGAGGTATGTTCCAGGTGTGTTTACCTCCAGTACTTTCCAGGAGGCTGTCACTTAGGGTGATTAACATCTGTCACACGTGAAGCACTCTCGCTTGCCCCCATCTTGCAGGAAAGCTGTATGCAGTTTTGGTTTTGGCACGTACACACTATATTGACATGAGGAGGTGCACTTGGAGAGTTTGCAGCTCCTTCCGTATGGAGAGAGGGCTTATCCCGTGCTGCCTGCCTCTGGCACGCCCCGGGTCACCAACGCAGCAAACAAGCAGGTGATCCCCGAGCTGCTGAGCACGGTCCTCAACCCAGCTCGTGCCACCCCTCGGACCCCTGGCACCAGAGAGCACAACACGTGCACGCCCTCAAAGCCTGACGTGCCACTCTTTGGACAGCCACTTTCAGATTTAAAGACCAGAGAGGTCCGTGAGGGTCACTTGCAAAGGGTCAGAATATCCCTTTCTCAATTTCTCAGGGAAGTCTCTAACATAACACTGAAACTATCTGACACCCTTGAAACAGACAGCACTGGAGAAGCCAGCATTCCCGGGGTCCCCCGCAAGCCTCACCCTCCCACCTCCACCTACGGCCCCAGTGCTTCCGCACAGGGACCCTGCAGCATCGCAGGCCTACGCAGCACCCAGCGCACCCAGGACCCGGCCGGTGCTAAACATCCCAGGTGATACAACGCAAGAGGTTAACAAATAATAGGGGTGCTGACACAGAGGCTGAAGAAGTATCGTGTGCTTCTGGCTGTCAGCAAGCATCTGAGGCCTGAGCTGTGGGGTCACGGCACTCCCAGCATCTGTAGCGGGAAAGGTCAGCCTTGCTGCAAACCCTCCTGTCCCCCGCTGGGCATGCAGCATCCCTGGCTGAAAGTCTGGCAACGGGCACCAGGAACAGATGAGAGTTACGGCCACTGCCAAATGCTGGGGACGCTTTTTTCTTCCCCACTCTCTCACTTTACTGGAGTCTTTAATTTTGAACTGTTTTCCATTTTATTTTAGAATTAGGATTTTCTGAGTTTGGAGAGGGTAGGGGTGGAGAGTGTTGTGGGTTTATTGGTTTGTGGGTTTTCTTGTTTGTTTTGTTTTTTTTTTTAAACTGACTTACCTAAGTGGCTTTTGAAGCCGTAATGAATTCAAGATGATCCCTTAACTTATTAAAAACAGCATCTAAATCACCGCCCAGTGTTTCAATCGATTTAACGACACCCGGACGAGTTTATTAAAGGGAGCCTGGGCATTCCCCAGGAAGGAAAAATCACAGTGCATGGGCTGTAACCCCGGGATGGGACCCCCTCTCCCTTCCTACAGGTCATCCAGCCTGGCACAGCAGTGCAGACAGGGGCAGGGGCAGAGGCAGCGGGGCAGGCAGCGGGGCAGGCAGTGGGGCAGGCAGCGGGGCAGGCAGACCCGTCTTTGTCGCCTGCCGGAGCACAGGGAGGCCACCCCAGGGACGAGAAGGGACTTTATAGAGGCAAGGGGAAGGAAAGGCGCCGTAAAGCCACGCGGAAGGAGGAAGAACAATAAATAGAAGGAAGCGAAGGGAGGAAAGAAAACACTGGCGGGGAGGGCAAAAAAAAAGATTTGCCATAGATAAGGCAGGGGAAAAAAGGCAATAACAGAGTGTTGACAGACTCTTTTACCGGCTAGCACAGCTTCTTGGCAAGCTCACGAGCGGGACCATGCAAAGGCACAGCTACTCATGTTTGCTTCTCCCACTAGGACCGGCAGAGGAGGGAGCATTTTTCAGTCTTGGCAGAGTTTAACCATCCTCTTTGTAGGATGCAAAAGTGACCTACTGTAGTCGGCAACTTTTTCAGATGTGAAAAAAAAGATCCCTGGGAGTCCTCTCCTGGGCTGCTTTGCTCATGTAATCTTTTCCACCCTGAGCACTGTGGAAATAAACACGCTCTATCCCTAATGGTACAGTTAACGGTAGTACAGCTCGTTTCTAAAACAAACCCTTCAAAAGGCCCCAGAAGGATCTGGGGACATTCGAGAGCTGCAATATCCTACAGGAGACACACATCTCAACCCTCTCTTGTGTACTGTCGAATTCTTCCTACTATTTTTACCGCTACTAGAGTTAGGAAAACATTTCACTGGGGGTTTATCATTCCACCACCAAAATTATAAACTATTTAGTCAGGGTTTGCTCTCAGCCTTTCAGGCACCATCAGAATTTTCCTCGCTGCAATAAGAGGTCTCGTAACTCGCCGAGCAATACCATATCTTGGCGTTTTATTTTTATTTCCATCTACTCTATTATGCAACGCTGCCCCATGGAAGAGGCAAGGCACAAGTTGCAGGACAGCAGCTAGGGCGGCTGCCTCTTCTCTAACGCAATTAGCTGCTGGAGGGTATGGCTCTGCCAAGACCAGCTGAAAGGATGCAGGAAGAGAGCCATCTTGGCATGGTCCTCCCAGGGAAAAAATAAAAAAGGCTGAGCTCATCAGCCACCAGCGAGAAGGATAAAGCAAAACTGGCTGCGGAGAGTGAATCTAGCGAGCGAACTCTGAAGCAACGGAGAGGCCTCGCTAACAGGCAGGAGATGCCTGTATTTTTGGCATGTGGCTTTGTTTTCAAAGTGGCGACAGTTCAGCTAGGGCATGCCGTGGAGGTAAGCGGAGAAGAACAAGGAGATAATGCCAAATACACTGGCAACCATCCTTGCTAATGTCAGGCACTGGCCATCCTGTGCCCCTTGTTGAGCTACTGCACTTACTGGGGTCCTGTCGGGGAAGAAGAGCGCTCACCTCTTAAGCAAGGTCTATTATTATTTATAGGTAAGACGATTAAGAGCCCTTAGTGATTGTGGCACCTCTGAGACAGGTCTTAAAGATCTCACCCCGTTCTACAATAATCTTTGATTAGCTACTAATTCAGCAGCAGAGTGCTTGCGTATTCAGGGTCTGCAGGCGCTGCATTTGGAGAGCCATCACCAGCATGGAGTTTAAGGGAAAAAACCTAGACGATGTATTCAGCCCCGCCAGATGCCCTGTGAACAGGGCAGACAGAGGGACACCCTGGGCTGCGGGCAGCAGTAGGTGCACAAGCAGAGCCCCAGTGCTGAGCTGAGGGTGAAGGGAAGGACCGCACCGTACCTACACCCCCCAAACGCCGCCACCTCCTTGCCCTGCTGCTACAGTCTGGCACTTCACTTGGTTTTGGCTTCGCCAAGTTCTGATAGAACTGATCTTCTGATAGAAGAAACCAGAGGCTGAAAGGCGACCGACCTTATCTACTGAGCTCGCAACAGACTGGCTGCGTAGGTACATAAAAGGCAACACCAAAGCAAGAGGCTCAGGTCTTTGCTTCACTGTGAAAACTTAAACACAGGCATGCAAAACCGCCACATCGATCGGAGCACCTGCAGGGCTTCAGACAGGACTGAAAGCAGAGATGCACAGACTTTGCAGAGCTTTCCTACATCCTTCACATTCATATGGACATTTTGTTCAGACTGAAGCCATATCCTTGCATGTCACGACTTTTCAGAGGGTGTCCTCCAAAAAGTTGACCGCACAGGCAGCGTGTAACGCAGACCGAAGCTTCAGGCAGCTGGGATCCACCCCAGGCTGCCGCGCTAACAAACACAGCGTACGCAGTTACATCACAGCTTATGTAGTTACATCACTCCTCTATGCGGATTTACGTCAACTGGCTGAACAGAACTAAACACATCCACAGTGACTGTCTGGAGACTTGAGAGCTTCCAGCGGGACCAAAAATATCTTTGGCTAGTGGGCTTGTGAGGTGCTGGAGGGGGCAATAAGGTATATTCAGTGCATTTAAAAAGCAGGGGAGGGGGAGAAGTCTTTCACGGTGTGTTTGTTTGGGTTTTTTTTGGTTTTAAGGTTTTAATATCTTTCCAAGGGGTGAACATGTTCAGGAATTTGAATTTAAAAAGCAACACAGTTGAGGAAGACTGACACTTCTTTCCTCCTAAAAGTTAAAGGAGAAAAACTTATTGAGGCTTCAAGAGAGAAATGGGATTTGTCTTATGAATGTCATGATTTACTCTACGGAGACAGAGAAGCCTGGCCCTACCAAAAGGCAGGGGATAGCACCGATCAGAAGTTCCTTACAGAAGCTTCTGCTCTCCGTCCTACCCAACTCAGGGCAGCCGGACCATCTTTCACCTGTATATTAGATGCGTTTTGGATTCACGCTGTCTGTTGGGCAGCTTTTCAAACAAAAAATGTCTGCCATCAGGAAAGAAAGGGGACCGCAAGCTGAGTTCTGACATTACCGTCTACGATCAGGTCATTATTGTGTTCATTTCTAAAATGCATTTTTCCCAGAACAACTTTTCAGGGTACACAAGCCAAGTTTCTTTCTTGAAAATCAGCTCCATCTGTAAATCGAAATCAAAGGTGGACTCTGAACTGGCGGGTGATTAAGACTGGTCAGAAACTTCCTGGGGTTCATTTTCTATATAGGTTATTCCGGCAAGTGAGACAAAAATAATTTAGGATTCTTTTTATGGCAACTCACCACGGTTGCATAGGTCAGGTGTCAAAGCTGGAGACAGCAGAAAATGCGGGGTGTTTGTCAGCCTAGAAAGCTGAGACTTCTTACAAAGCAGTGGGAGATGGAGAAGGAATCTGGCAATCCAGCCAGAGTTTCAAATGTTTCTTCAGAAATGTTTCCTTTCGGCCGTGATGGGCCGGTAACGACTGACCATCATGAACTTCTAATGGACCATCCTAACCAGCCCTCTTGGGACTTTTGTTTTCCTGACTCCTCCCTTCCCAAGTTAATAAATAAAGAGCTTAAAAACAAAAGAGGCAGACTCTTAGTTATGCTAATTTTACCTCCTTGGCTATTTGGATGGTGATAGTGAATGTGATAAACCATTTAAGATAACAAGCTGCAGGAGCTTCACGGAATACAAAGCGACCTGTCCCCAAAATGCATAGACTGGATAATGTTCTGCATATGCTGAGGAAAAGTTACCCCAAGGTCAGCCCCGCAGAGGCCGGCAAAGAGGTACTTTAGGAGATGCACAAGAAGCTTAAAAAAGATGCGGAGCACCATTTCTATAACCACAAAGCAAAAAAAAAGAAAAGCTCACTACCTATTCTGCGAGCACAGGAGCCAAGCGCCCCTACTACTCTGTGAAGGAAACTAAAAAAGCCTAATTCGGGATAGAAAAAAAAAATCTAAAATATCAAATGAGCAGATGGAGTTTAACAGTTCAGCAAAACAACATTTTTATATAGCATATATAGGACTCGCACACCTGATCGCCGCAAAAGCCTGAAGTGCTCTTAAAAGTGACCTTGCTAACAAGGCAAAGCCCGCTCCTTTGGCACGACTCAAAGGAGCTGGAGCGCACACGAGCAGGGCCGCAGCTCAAAACAAAACCAAATGTATTAAAATGCCCAGAGAATAAAATTACGCCGACCTCGAGTCACAACGAAAGCGTGTGTGCCCCCGCCGCTTCATTAACCGGAGAGTGGAGGAGCCTGCCCAAGGACCAGCGATAAGGCCACCGTGCAAAATCCCGCTTTGGGGGTTTCATGCAGGATGGGAAGGGGGGGGAGAAGGGAGGATAAAGAAGCAGAGAGGGAAGGGGTGCTTTCTCCCACCATCCTGGCCAAAGAAAACTACCGCCCGGTGGTGGCGACGGCCCGGTGCTGGGCCGGGGGTGCTGCTAACCTGGTTCCATCCTGAGCGCTGCAGTTGACGTCAGCCCCGTACTCGAGGAGATGCCGCACGATGCTCAGCCAGCCCCTGGCACAGGCCTCGTGCAGGGCGCAGTAACCCGCGTTGTCACGATGATTCACATCACACACCTTGTTTTCCAGACAGTACAGAACCACTTCCTGGAAATGGGAGAAAAAACAGATACACATCGAGTCAGTTCTTGCTGCGGAGATGCACAGATTTCTCTTCTTGAAGGAAAAGGAGGGGGGAAAAAAGGGCAAAACGCAAAACCCCTACGATATGCCTAAGTTACCCTCTTTGAGATGGGTCAGTCAAAAGGAAAAGAAAAGGGGAAGCCGTTGAAAGTCCTGCTTGTTCAGGAGACAGAGACCGTGACTAGCTTGTGCGAAGCGGCATGGAGAGCTCTGCGCCCCGCGGGGCCCTTCCCGCAGCCCCCAGCAGCGGGAATCCTCGCAGAGGGGGAAAGCGCAAATTTCGCAGACAAAACTCACAGCTTTCCACTTCTCAAAACTTCCACGCGTAAAGCTAGCAGGAAGGTTTTTACTCTTACATCTGCATTTTTTAGCAGAAAATTCTGCAAGCACAACAGCAGCACAGCCGACGTCAGTTTGATTTTAAAAAGAAAAAAGCGCATGACCCGAAACAAAACACATTTAAGACACACAAAGGACGGTTTGCTATCGGTAAACAAAAAAAAAAAAAAAGCCCGACTCTATCAAGATCAGGGAAATCCCATTTTCACCCACCCTGGTTTTCTGCATGCACAACTAAAGCCAGGCGCCAGGTTCCAATAACGAGCCCGGCGCCGTGGGAAGCCATGTGAATTTAACACAATTCATCTTGCAGTCAAATATACCACGGTCGAGAGCCTAGGCCAGACTCAGCTCTACGCTGTCGTGCGGCCTTGAAACAATGACTGCTCCATCACTCAACCAAAAATTTAGGATGGTGTGAGTCTTCCTCGATTTGTCTCAGATGCAAAAGGAAAAAAAAAAAACAACCCAACACATTTCTAAGTGATGCTGCATGTATAAAATAGCCTCCGCATTCCCAGATTAGTGGCAAGCCATTAATTTTGCATTTGCTCCTCTCAAAGGCTGAGCGATATCCTTGCAAAGCCAGATACGGCGTGGAGGGGGCGAGTGTTTGCTTTGCCAAAGCGAGAGAATAAAACAACCGCCGGGTGCGACGCATTTATTCTTCCCGTTTCAAAATCTACCGGAAAGCCCGCAATAATCTGTGCTCTGGGTGTACCTGACCCGAGAGCTGGTATCCAGGATACAGCATGAAGCTGCTCTTTTAGCAGGCCCTCACTAACCAGGCTAAAGCGGGGAGCTAATGAGCCGCCCGTCCCAGGTGCCAGAGCATCCCCCTCACCTGCCGCCTGGACGGAGCGGTCCACCACCTGCACCCTGACGCACCCACCGGTTTAACCTGGAATCCCCACAGTCCTGAACAGGGGCTCTTCGTGTTCCTGCTAATCAGCCCAAAGGCCAAAAATCGCTCCAGAACAGATGCTTCTTTACCCTGCACTCGCTCAAGCCCGTAAGAAAGGGCTGTGGAAAATTATACCCCGGAGGTATGAATTTTCCTTCAAAACCAGACCACCCTGCCAGGCAAATAAGCAGACGGATATAGGTAGCAGAAGCGGCTGCCGTATTCAGGTCCACTTTTAGCATGCAGTTACCATTTTAAATAGATTCTGCAACTCAAAATAAAGGAACACCTTTAATCTATTTTTGCAGAAAGGAAAGGCTCTTCCTAGGGCGGAATACCTACTACTGGACGAAAAGGCTAATTTTGTCGGGCAATTCTGTGTTAAGAGGCTATAAGAAGAATGTCATTAACCACAAAATGTAACCATAAAGACCATAAAACTCTACATTGTTAATTAATTAAATGCCTCATTAACTTTTTTTAACATGATTTATTCAATTTACAAAAAAATTAGCCATTGCTGCCGAACACAGGAACATGTGGTGCCACAAACACACTTTTGGTTTCATAAGCATCTCTCAGTAACGTTAAAGAGAGGCTGTGGAAGTGCCACGGGGCAATTTAATGTCTGTTCAGGTGCTCTATTTAAACCAGCAATCTGAAAATCACTCGCCGTTAATCCAAAGAGTCAAGCTAGCACATCACCAGACAAGACACGAGCCACTGCTGCTTCTGCCTGCAGTTTGTTAGCCAAATTGCAAACAGGAATGTTAAAAGGTGCATGCAAATGTGCATGCTCCATCCTCATCTACGAAGAGGTGTCCTTGACTTTAGTCTCTCCCACCCGTGCTCTGCAGCAGCTCCTGCCCTTTTTCCAAGGGAAGGGGTCAGCATCCCCTTGCACATCCCCCATGCCCCAGGCATCCCCCAGGCCCTGAGCAAGCATGCTGCCACCAAGAAGCACTAGTCCATTCCACCCAACCTCGAAACATGGCCCTTGGGCAAGGCGTTAGAACCTGAGCCGTAACGCTTCCCCGCAGCACCGTGCCAAACCCCAGAAGTGATGCTCGTCCCCTGGCAGGGTGCGGGAGCCCCAAGGGAGGATGATGCTCAGGAGCTCCTGCTCCTGCAGCACTGCCACCAGGGACCCAGGGCCAGACCCTCGTGTGAGGCATCCCTAGGCCAAACCCTCTCCCCCTGCCTGGATAAGCCCTGTCGTCATGAGTGTTTAAACCTCCTGGAAACAAACACCATCTTTCACCCCACCCCTATCACACATTCCTCTAATTTCACTGCCTTCCCAGGCAGGATTTAATCCCAAATTCACCAGAGAACTTCCCAAGTCCAGACACACACCAAAAAGCAACAAGCGGCACAAAGACAACCCGTGTTTCCTCTCCCATCAAATTCATTACGCAAGCCTTTTGTAATTTTTTTCCCAAAAAGGCTTTACGCTCCCTATAATTCCCCCTTCACAAAAAGTAAATTACAGTTTTAAGACTACTATTATCTCAAGTCATTTGTTTCAAATGGGGAAAACAGAATGGATTCGAGAGCGTCCAGACACTGGGATGGGTTGCTAACATCCTGAAGAAGCAAGGCCTGGCGCAGAAGCCTAGCGAAGAAAAAGCAAAGCTTCCCACCAGCTTCGGCAAGGTTTCGCTCAGACCATATGGACTTCCAGAGCAGAAGGCCATTTGCCACACCGTCTTTAAGTAGCCTTGTCGCCTGCAGCCCTGCAATTTACCTGATCAGACACGAGCTGCATTTGTCCTTTGACATTTCACTTTCGCATCAGATTTTACATGCAAAATTGTAACCACGTGTGTGTCGCCCCCCTCCACAACTATCTGGGGCATGTCTATACCACGGAATTGAGGGTGGGGAAGAGGCACCTGAGCAACATTTGGGCCCCCCGTGGGTCCAGGAGCAATATATACAGCTCGCCAGCATCTCTGCATGCCAAAGGTGCCAGTGCTGCCTCTGGGTTTGGGGTGGGATCTCTGCAGGGCTGCAGGGCATCCCTGCTGCAAAGGCAGGCAGGCAGGCTGCCAAGGGCAGGCACGAGCTCACCCAGCCTCAGGGCAGAGCAGCTGGTGCCAATACAACACTCCTGCCGCCGCTGGGGCTCAGCGGTGCCCTGTGGTGCCAGCCACTTCCAGCTCCGAGTCCTGCACCAGCACTTGGCGTCCCTTTGCGAGCCATGGCCCCAGTGGCACAGACTCATTCACCTCCTCTGCCACCAGGCTGGTGAGGGGCCGCAGGGCTGCGGGCTGCCACCGCAGCAGCCACGAGAAGCCCTCATGTGCCCGTGAGCGCCCAGCGCTCCCCCTTCAGCATCAGACCCCGGCCATCATGCTGCAGCCACCAAAGGTTGCTGCCCCGCTGACAGGGACGGCAGAAAACAGATGCGTGCAACTGCCACAGGTCACAAACCAGAAAATTAGCTTGACCCAATGAGCTTTTTTTTTTTTTTTTTTTTTTTTTAATAGAGGAATTTGTAACTTCTTGACCACTCTAATTTTTCTACAGACAGGGGAAATTCAGTTTTCTAATAACCGCAGTAGTCTGGTCGCTAGCAAGGAAAACACAGCTACAGAGTTTCCATGGCTGAACAAACTATCACAGATCACCACAGGCCAAATGAAGCCCCAGTGGGGCGGCGTGGCCACCCACCGCTCTGGTCCTTGAAAGACACAGCTGATGCCGGATTCCAGCAGCAGCTTGGACACATGGACCGGGCTCTCCTGTCCCATGCTCTGCCAACAAGAGGACCCGCTGCCGCGCTGTCAACGCCGGCCAAACGATCAAGTCAAACCATCAGAATATTTAAGCCTATTAAACATGGTGTTTGCTTGAACTTCTGGGTGAATTCAAGTCAGAAAATCCCCGACCAGCTGATGATGGGAACACAAGGTTACCCCAGGGCCCCGGGAACCCAACTCTGGTGAGCTCGGGCACCCCCAGCTTTCTGCAACCAGCCCAGTAACAGCTGACACAGCAGACAGCTCCCGCTATCAGCAAAGCACATGGAGAGCCCTCGGCTTGAGCAAGACCTCAGTTCATCACCAAGTTTCGGAGCTGCCCCCATTGAGAGCACGACAGGCACAGAAAGCAAAGTGCACAAGCATCCCACGGCAGCCTGCTACGCACGAGCTGTACTCACCCCGACAGACACCGTGGAGGAAGAAAATACGATAGCTTAGAGCACATGCTACAACACCTTTTGATTTTGGATCCATGGGAAATTTTAGGTCCATAGGAAATTAAATCATTTAAATTATGGAGATTACCATAGCAACGTTGTAACAACCACTTCTCCTCCTCCTAGCTAGAGCTGAAGTGCCCTGGGTTAGAAGAAGCCTTTGTCTAGGGTAAACAAAACCTTCCTGACAAACCCTGCCTTCCAGAGCTGGAGAAGGCCTCTCTCTATACGGAGCTCTCCAGCTATACAAAGGGCATTCAGAGGTTTCTACAAAGCCCTGAAGCTGGGCAGGCCCCACCTGGGCCCAGGCTGATGCCACCTTCCAGCTTGGGGCTCAAGCCCAGCTCTGAGGTCCAAGCGGTCCCCTCACCACCAAGGTGAGCCCTGCAGCCGTGCCGAAGGCAGCAATCACTCCCTGCAATGAAACACCTCTTTGCAAGATCTGAAGTTGAGCTACCATGATGCTCATACCTATATGCCCATACTTCCCCAACACAAGCGTGCTTCAAAACAGCAGAGCTAGGGGACTCAGTGGTTTCTGATTTTTGTAGCAACAGAGGAGCCATTTCATTAGACAACATTGTTCCAGCTACGCCGAGCAGCTCCAGACTCCGAGCATAAAGCATGCAGAGTGCTCCTACGATGCATTTGAGCATGCAAGAGGACACTCCAAGCGCTACATCCTGTGTCACATACCAGATACTCCTTGGAGAAAAGAGCAAAAAATAAAACCCTTCTCCTAAACTACACGCTCTTCACAAATAACAAAAGCAGCTCATTAAAGATCACCATAAAGACTACTTAAAAAAAAAAAAAAAAAAAAAAAAAAGACATTAATTCTGTTTGCAGATGGCTTATATTTAAACAGACGTGAGGGTTACCAATAAAACTTTACCCTTTGCTCGTTCACGCGGGACGCTGCTTACCCTGCGTCCCCACCAGCTGACCCAACCGCGGTGGGGACCCATTCCCACTGACCCCAGACCCAGTGCCCCGGGGAAGGGAATGCAGCAGGGGAAAGCGGGCCAGCAAATTTCAACCACCAAACTCAAAGCTACCGCTTTGCAAAATTTCCATCTATAAAACTGGAAAGAGGGTTTTAACTTTTGAAATAAAAAAACATCGTCCCGCAGGGCGGCGAGGGACCCTTACCTCATACCCCAGGCGTGCCGCCCGCTGCAGCAGCGTCTCCCCCGCGTTCTTATTGACAATAAGCCTCCGTGCTTCGGGCGGCATGGGCCGGCTCGGGGTGGTCTCCTGAGGGGGGCTTGCGATCGGCAGCTGCGAGGGCTGCGAGACGGGTAGCAATGAGGGAGTCTGCTGCAGGCGATCGTACAGCTTCTGCTCGTACGACTTGGCTGGCGAGGAGTCGCAGTCTGAAGCAGGCTCTGGTCGCTTCCTGACTTTCCTCGTTATCGTGACCTGTCAAAACCATTATTGTGGGGGTTTTTTATCCTCGTTTTTACAATACAGCGATGGGATTATATTTTGCCAGCAAAGAATTACACTTTTCTACTCATATTTAATGTTTTAAGAAAGACCTGCTACAGCTTTTAAATGCAAGATCCCTCACCCCCTACAATAGTGCCTTTAACTCGGGTTAAAAAAAGCAAATACAAAATGTGCAAAGCATCCACAGACGAATTTGAATGCAATCCCCACTACCCGGCATGCATGACAGCACATTAGTTTTAAGCAGGCTGGCTCTGCCTTCTGAGAGGCTGGTGGACAATTAAGTCTAAATAAAGATACCTTATCTTCAGCATTTTCGATATCTGTGGTGTCATCCCCTGTCAGAGATGACCTCCTTCTCCTCTCCTGCAGTGCCAAGTGTTTTGTTTTACACTGACGTTTCCCTGATGGCTTCTCACACTCGCTGTATTTCTGCAGCAGAGATGCATGTTGGAAATCCTCCTCTTCGTCTGTGTACAGCCCATCTGTCTTCCGGCTTTCTTTAATTTTCTGCTGTTTGGCAGCCAACCTCGAGGCTGGAGTACAGCTTGGCTGAGCCTGCCTTTTGCTGTTTGCATTGGTGGATGAAAGGCTCTTCATGTGCGGAGACACTGGGAATACGGGCAAGCCTAAATGGGAAGGAAAGGCATTACACGTTGCATGGTGTGTTAAAAGGAAAACACATTGCTAGCACTTAACACAAGCTCCTCGACTGCTTAAGAGATCTACCCATTACATTTTCAAATCATTAATATTTTAAGCGTTCCACATTCAAATTGTAAATAGCATCTTGCCAGTTAACGTTACACTAACAGTTATAAGGCTCTGATAAAAATTGCTAAATGAACTGCCCCGTGCCGGGGCACCGCGAAGGCCATACGGTGCCGTGCCGTGCCGTGCCAGCTCGGCACTGCCGCAGCCCAGCCGCCACCGGCAGAGCGGAAAGCCGCCACTGCACCGCCTCGCTGGGGGAAAAACTCGCCTCCTTACCTGGAGCTGCGTTATCTGAAGGGGAACCAACTCCTCCGGCAGCCTGGGCCCGGCCGGGCTTGTCCGCCTTTGGCTAGGTGTGGTTGCAGGGCAGATACACGGATGGCAGGGGAGGAGGGGAAAGCAAGAGAGGCGGGAGCATGGATGAGGTCTTATTGGGACAGCATGGGGGGAACGTTGAGCTTAGCCCTAAGACGGCAATAAGATGGGGAACATCTCCTTGGCACCATTTTTACTTAGAAAACAAACCAAGAGAAGAAAGGCTACTCAAGGAGCCGTCCCTACAGAAGCCCTATGCAAACTCTCTATCAAAAAGCATGGGGATTTTGCAGGAAAAGCCGTCAGCTGTGTTTTCCCGAGGACTCTGTCCAGAAGTGAGTCCTTCTGTGAGACCAGAAAGCCCTGGGACATGGGGGAACTAAGGCCAGTGCTCTGCCACCCGTGGCAGGATAGCAGCAGGGCCGGTTTTTCTCCGGGGGTTAGCTCTAACAAGATGGATCCCACAATCTGGGCCACATGCAAAAAGCATGGTTACTTTTTTTTTTTTTTTTTCAGAGTGCAAGCAGGTTTACAACAAAACAAGGACAGGAAAGTTGACTTTTTATAGTTTGAATTTCCCTTGGGAAGAGAATTGAGGTGACCTCAGAACCAACTCCTCTGCAGAAAAATTAAAGGTTGCTGGAAAGGAAGGGACACCTCAGCCCCATGAAAAAAGCATGGTTTTTTTTTTTTTTTTTTTTTCAGAGTGCAAGCAGGTTTACAACAAAACAAGGACAGGAAAGTTGACTTTTTATAGTTTGAATTTCCCTTGGGAAGAGAATTGAGGTGACCTCAGAACCAACTCCTCTGCAGAAAAATTAAAGGTTGCTGGAAAGGAAGGGACACCTCAGCCAAACAATACCACGCCACTGAGGGAAGGTGTGGAAAAAACCCTGAGCACTTGAAAGAGGCTCCTTTGCTCCGAGAAGTCTCTGAAGTGATGCTACTTTCAGAACAGGAGAGATGGAGGAACAAATAAGGCAGCTGCTCAGAGAAGAGAGACCTTTATTTAAAGAGGCTCGATCCAGAGCCAGTCAGTAAAAAAGAAAATAAAATCTAGAATCCTCTTGGTGGGCAGCTTCACACTTTTGTCTTCCTTTAAATAGATCTGTGAAAGCGACTTGCAGAAGGCTTTCTAGATTAAAGATGAAAACAGAAATCCCTCAGTTCTTTTGAGCCACTTTCTAGAAAAAGATGCATACCACGGCTTGCCAAGCAGATGTCAGGGAATTTACGAGACACACGATGTGCAGATTGTTCAGCAAAAATCTGGTAAGTTTTTTAGGCTTTGCAATCCTGAAGGAAGAAGCCCAGTCGTAGGCTGAGCCTACGGATGCAAGGCTGTCTTTCCAACTCTGCAGACAGCACGAAGTAAGGAGTGTTTAATTCTCCTGTTCCCAACTAACCTAATTGGAGTAGCACGTGAAAAGCCCAATTCCAATACAGAAGTATCATCATTATCTACTTAATCACTTACTAAAAAAACTGCAAACATGGAAAGCAGCAGCGACGAGGTCTGGTGAACGCAAAGGGAAGTAAGAAACTGCTGCATGTAGAAAAACTGGAATATAAAGAAAAAAAGCTCACAGGTCTGGAGAAGGACAGAAATACCAAAAGAATGGAGGAAAAAAACACAGGAAGAGAAGCCTATCTCAAAGAACTGCAGGCTTTCCTATGTAGGGATGCCAAGGCATTAAAAGCAGAAGTTTAATCACCACAAAAAACGGGTACTCCAGCATGCAACCTCCACGTAAACTCTGTGCTCCACTTCGACCCTCCACAGTGGTGACAGCAGGCACCAGGCTAAACATGCGCCGCAGCTAAGAGATGGAGAGTAGCAACGCTATGCCCAGGACCTTCGGGATCAATAACATTGCAAGAGGCCAGCACTACCCAGAAAAAGCCAAACGTCAGCCTGGGAAACGCGAGACACACGGGCAGAAAAAAGGCAAGCGATTAATCCTGGAATCCCACCCCATCTTTCTGACCGCTACATACATGAAGGGAGAAGAAAAACAAGAGTGAGCAGGAATATCCCCAAATATCCATGAAAAAAAAACAAGCCGTAAACCAAAAACCCAAAAAAAACCCAGGCCTCCGACTGATGTGGGTTGTGGCGAGTCTGACTCAGAGCAGGACCTGCCTGCCTTCCCGCAGGAGCGGGTTGCAGAGAGGTCCACGCGGAAAAGCAGCTGCTGCCGCGTCACCTGAATGCTCGCTTGTTCAGCTCCCACCCCGGCAGCTGCCTCCTCCTGCCTGCCAAGCCAGCGGCCGCCGCGCTGCCTGCAACCCGAGGCGGCTCCGAGGGGCAGGCAGCGGCTTTCCCAGTGGGCGAGATCCTCCCGGCTCCTCTCCTCGGGGCTTTTGTTTCCACGCTGCCTGGGTTTTCTCCCCGCGCCGGGTGAGTGGCTGCGGGGAGGGCTGGCTACCGCGCTGCCGGCAGTGCCGGGAGGTTATTGCTGAACTCGGACCCCAGCAGAGACCGTGGCTCCCGCCTCAGCCACGAGTCCGGGCGAGCGGCATGATGCCCAGAGGTTGCAGGCATCCCTACGCTCACGGACCTGCTGTGCCCCAGAGAGCCAGCACGGGCAACGTCACCTCATGAGTGGGATGAGGCAGGGCCCTGAAATTACATCGGGCAAGCCACGTCCCAGCTCTTGTGGTCCTGACCCACAAGTGAGGCTGCAAGGAAGTGACAGCCGTAAGAGTCACTGGGGGAACATCTCCAGCGGCCACCACTTTGTCACCCAGCCAGAAGGCATTGACTGCAGGACAGAAGGGTGACAGCCCGGTGGCGGCTTGCAATGCACCGCATCACTCCTCCCACACTAAAATCCCAGGGTGAACACGACTGGAGCAACAAGCCCAAAAGTCAGCACCCTCCATCTTCCTGGAGGTTTGCAGGCACAGGCGGAAAATCATCCCGCTGTTAGACTAAGGCTTCCCGGGCACAGGGGCAGACCTCAATGCCCCGTTACAGCCCGCTTCTTGGGATACAACCAGCTTCCCAGCAGCAGAGACTGCCACGTTCACAGGCAGTGCTTGGGCACCAGGAACAGCTGTTCCCAGCCCCAGAGCAAAAAAAAGCTGCAAGCGACAGGGTATAGTCTCGTATTCACAGTATCTGCTTGTTTAAGCAAAGGCTGAGGACTAGTCCTGAGCAAGGAAGACAAGCTGGAAGTCTCCATCCCCATGCAACTGCCACACAGAGGATGCTCTGTTGCACAACGGGGAAAAATGCCCTCGTCCTAGTGAACTAAGAAAAAGGAGATTCAAAGGTTTACACTTCAACAGGGCTGGAGGAGCGTCAGCGAAGTGATCTGAACAATCTCCACTGCCTCTGCACAGTGAATGGATGGCGAGGCATAATTTAGTCAGGTTTATGGTTTTATAGTGGCTTCCAAAACCCAGAAGTTTTTCATAGCCATGGGGCGACTGAATTTGAATGCCTTTGGGAACGGTGCATAAATTGGGAGCCACCTCTTTTGCTTTCCCGAGGTCATGCGTGCTGCCACGGGAGGCATTGCAGGGGAAAGCTAGAGCATCCTTACACAATGTGACTTCTTGTTAGTGACCCTCGTTTAATCTCTACAAGGTGTCTCTTTCTGAAAGTACAAAGGGGAGCAGGTGATGGACAGGGTTGTTTGAGCCGATACCATGCTTGCCAAGGCAGCAGCAGCACATAAAGCAAGGGAGTAGGAGTCAAAGCTCCTTTTAAACTAAGTTTTGATCTCCTGCTCCACGAATCCTTTTGGAGAACCTTCCCCATCAATAAGCATCAAAGTTTGGGGTTTTCTGCCCTCAGATAATCCTACCAAGGGGAAAGATGGGCGAGGAGCTTTAGGACAGAAGGGAAGCCGATACTTTTGCCCGTGACCGTTTCGGAGATGCTACCCAGGAAAACTCTCACCGGTGCAGGATGACCTGAACTCGGTCCTTTCCATGGCATGGGACAAGAGGATCCACTCTCCTCGTGCTTCTCTCTTTTGAGGAGATCTCAGCTAAACTACAGGTTAGGCCAGCTGGAGGCTGAATGTCTACCACTTTGATGAAGTCCCAGGACTGTGAGGAGGAAGGAGCCCAAACATCCAACTCGGAGCTCCCCCTCCCAGAAACAGCCTTTCCTCAGAAGCAGGCAGAGGACTTGGAGGGGTAAGAGGAGGAGAGGAAGGAAGAAAAGTATTTGCAACCTTTTACCTGAAAAGCTGAAAGAGGAGACGAGGGCTCCCTGCTGTGCCCAGAGGAGACGGGCATTCATGACGAGGTGCAGGGGACACGCGAGGGGCAGCACCCACGTGAGCTGCGTGCTGCCGTTCCCCACCAGTCCTCCAACCAAGCTACGGCAGCAAACGCCGCAGGGAAGGGGAAAAGCAGGAGAGCTGACAATGTGCCCAGAGGCTGCGGACAGCGGGGACAGGAGAGCGACCTGTCCGTCCGAAGGAAAATTTGGCAGATTGCTTCCACGGGCTCTCCCCCAGGATAAGGAATGGGCAGAAAAAGAGGAGAGGATGAGGAAAAGTAGGAAGGGGAGTGAGGGGGAAAGAAGCAGCCAGAAACAAGTCAAGGAAAGCTGATCTGCTTTGAGGAAGCGACCGCTTAGGAGAGAGCCGCTGGGAAGATCTCTGCCAAGGGGTCGGGGAGTAGGGCCACAGGGGTTTGGAGGAGCAAGGCATCCTCTTTGGGAGGAGGATGAGCTTTGCTCGTGGGCTTATGCCCTGGGAAAGGCAGGGAAACCCAGCAGTGCTGAGGGTGCTGGAGGCGTTGGGTTCCCAAGATCAAGAGCTGCTAGCTGTGCCGACGCTGTTTCAGAGGGTCACAGCCCTTCCAATCCTACATGTGGTTAAACGCTCTTAGACCAACTAGCAGCCTGCTTGCTCCCTCCCTCACCCAGAAGCATGCCCGCGTTGTATGCCCCCCCAGCTCTCCTCTAGAGACATAAACTTCATCTTCACGTTATCTATGAAAGAGTATTTAAAGCCAAAACACACACACGCGCGCGCACGCACAAACACATAGTTACACACACGTACACAAACACATTTTCTTGTCTGCCAAATATCAGCTACGGTGCAATTCTTAAAGAGGAGGTGTCAGTCCTTATACAAATGGACATCTACAGAAATAGATATATAAAATTTAAAAAAAAAAAAAAAAAAAAAAAAAAGCTCTCGACAATTCCTTAACATCGGTGGCAGCATGCGTCACTGTAAATGCTAAAGCCGGCTGGTTTCCCTAGTAGTCTCTGCATACCTTGTTCATTGTCACTTGTTTTGAGGGACTCTTCAGACCAACTTCTATTGCTTTTGGCCTCTGACCTTTTCTTGGTGTGCCTTTCTTCTGTGAAGTCTTTGACCTTTGCAGTGGCCTCTGGCTGAACAGCCTCAGCTAAATCTTTCCTGCTTTGCCGGCCCAACTTGCCGGACGGGGATCTCTCTGGTGACACCTGCTGCTCCCATAGTTCCCTAAGATGCTGCAGGTGACGCTGCTTTTTGGGATGGAGCCCTGTTAATTCAATGCACACCTTCAGGTTGGTCACCTCATTACAATTGGGCTCTTCTAAGTGGTTAGAGGAATTGTTTGTCATTTCCCTCTCAGGCCAGTCATCTAATGGAAAAATAACTAAAAATTAATCAAAAAGCCCCCTCAACTTAAAACAAAAGCTACATTTCACTTTCGGGGCATATAGTCTCAGCTTTACCACCACACTATGCATTTTAAAGGTTCGCTCATTAAGGGTTACATGCACTACAGTAACTTGCACTGCTGTGGCTACAGTTTCCAACGACTAGTGCTTTACCCTTATATACCAAGTTTTTTATATATACATATATATATATACACACATATATATACATACATATATATACATATATATAATTTTAAGTGAAATGACAGTGCTCACATTAGTAACTATCAAGTTCAAAAATGGAAACACATTAAGCCAAAGGGACGTTCCTTTCACAAGACATTCCTTGAGAGAGACCAAAGCAAAATGCTGTCTTACCTTTGGAGTTCTTCTTCTTTTTTGCTTTTGATATAAGCTCATCCTGCAGCTCATCCACAAAGTTTTCATTTTGGCTGCCATCATTTTGCACTCTCTCACCAGAGTGTTTACGCTTCCTGTCCAGACGGGGACATGGATGTTGGCCAATATCTTCTGTTGGCTGGTCTTCCGCTTTTTCATATATAGAATGCCTCTCTAAATAACATTTCTCATTTGAGAGATCTTTTTCCTCTGGAGTTTCAAGAAAGTGACCTTGGTTGTTTTCTGTACTAGTAAAGTTACCTAAAAATAAAAGAAACAAACACCACAAGACCTAATAAATACAAAACAATTCGTTGTGAGAAAGCTATGCTCTCTGATCTCTTCAATGCCATCTCCATCATGACTTATGGCTCATGAGGCATGCAAATAAACGTAAAATTGTACTTTGGAACAAGACTCCTCTGGTCAGCCTAAGGCAGCAGTTTTCTCAACAGTTAAGTACAAAACCCCCCAAAGCGCGATACTTTGTGTTGTTTTTACATCAATTTAAGAAGTACAATATTCACAATACTTGTATCCACAGGCACATCACAATATGCTTTTTAAAATAAAGAAATATCTTTAGATATCGAAAGCACAGACCCTTTCCAGAAAGCAACCTCGCCCCCCAAAACCGCGGTAAGTAATAATCCAAGCTCCGCTTTGCGATGACTTTGTTTTCAAAAGTATCTTCTGATGATAATGAAGTATTAGTCTTTCGCCAATTCCTAATTCTTCCCTAACTTCTCGCATCAAATTGCAGTCTGACTTAAAAGTGTTCATCCCCTCTTCTGGAAATATAAATGGGATATGGAGCACGCACACACGTACACGGGAATACCACTAAGAATAGCTGTGATATTTTGCAAAAAGCACTACTTGAATCCAAGGTTATAAAAAGGCTTCCTCACTTCAAGTAACCAACCAGCCAGTCACTGTACATCACATGTTCTTTGTCACCTCCTTTTAAAAAAGACCTCACATTTTTTCAGGCAATATTTCCAGCAGCAGCGAGCAGGTGAGCTTTGAAAAGCTTACTAGAAACTAGTCTGACAAATTAGCCACAAAACCACCCATGCTTGCCCTGACTTCAGCTTCCCCTCTCCAATACTGTTCCCACAAATTTAGAGACATCTTAAGCAATTTTAAATGGATGCTTGACTTCAAATGACACTTTACCATCATCTTGAATAGGTATTTTTTCTTGGGTTTATCCAAACTAGCCAAGGCACGGTTAGGCAGACGTGCGGTACAGACTGCAACATGGTTAATCGGCTTCCTATTTACAATTCTCACAGAGAAGTCGGTTTTCCCACGCGTTTTAGCCCTCCTGGCTGACCAGTAGTCTTTCTGCACGTCTGCTGCTGTTTGGCAAACTGTCTGTATGCTCCGTCCTACTTCCCTATGGCTCACTCTCCCTTTTCCTCTTCCTTCTCCTTGCCCTTCCTCCTTCTCCCACCTCCCTTCCTGCAAACACATCTGCTGGTTTCCTACCTGGTCTCCTGACAGCTCCGTTTCCCTTCCCTCCCCCTGGTCCCGTCCTTACTCAGCCTCCTCCCCCATACAGCCTGGCCTTCAGCTTCTGCTCTTCCCCCTTGCCAGGGCAGACTTTGCTCCCCGGCAGCCCCCTCTCCCCTCCCGTCCCCTCCGAGACCCACCACGCCAGCGTCCAGGCGCTGGCAGCCCCTGGATGCAGCCCCACTCTATCCCACCTTATCTTGAGAGCACTTTCCTACAGCTCTGCCAACACCTTCTGGTTTCGTGACCGTCCTTAAAATACCTGTTGTCAGCAATGCAAGGCCGAGGGGGGAAAAAAAAACCCTCTGATGAGATTTTTCTTCACCACAACTTGGAAATGGCTCCAAGTAGCACCTAGAGTTCTGGAGATGTCTGCGGGCACGTTTGCGAGATGTTTGGGAAGCTGTCTGCAGGGCTGCTTTATAAAACAGCAAAAGATATTTGGCCAAGAAAAACCAAAACAAAAGTTGACTTTTTCCAGGCAAGCGGGAGGCTCGGGCCATTCTGCTATTTGGCAATGCTCCTCTCCGCAAGGCCGTCTGGCCAACACCTGCTCCCTTCAAGACTTTAAAACACAGTTTGTCACACTTCTTCCAGCCAGCAATGCTGACATGTTCCAGAAAACAGGTATCTCAGCTTACTATGACCGCGCCTCTAAATCACCAGTGTGCCCCCGAACCAGAACGGATCTGGCAACACCCCGTGCTTGCACATCTGGCATGAAGATGCTGCCCAACAGCTGTACCCTATAACCACACCAACAGCACCGGCAGTCCTGTTTCACACAGCATAAAAGAAGCTGGACCAGCCACGTTTTAAATATCACTTTAGAAACGCTTCTATCAGATTTCATTTTACATTTTTAATGCAACCTGCTATTTTTCCCCCTTTCATAAGGAAACATTATACTTATATGCTCAGTTTCCCCGAGCAGATCAGGTAAGGGCACTCTCCGCCACGCTCCCACTGTTTATAGCCTCCGTGTCTCCAGCAGTACTGGCAGCTACACACCACGGTTCACGCCGAGAGCTGCTCGATCAGGACAGCTTTCCTGCTCCTAACACTGCCTGGCCTGAGAAAAGGCAGGCACATCCTGACCAATTCCCAGAGAAGCTTTCGCAGGGTCAGAGGAAGTAGCAGGCTGGGGGGGGTTTGATGGTCTTAATCTTTGGGGCTTGCAGGAAACAGCAAGCTAATTCCAGGCTGCCACCACTGAAAGCGACCCGCTGCAGATTAATTCTTTCTCTATCTGCAAGAGGACTCGGCACAGAGATGCCGAGCGCCGCTCGCTCAGACTGTCCCTGCTAAAAAATAAAAAGGAGGGGAGAGACATTTGCTGTAACCTTGCTAACAGCTCGTCACCGTCGGCATTTCTCCGGGGCTTCGCATGCCGCAGAGAGCAGCCCACGCCTATTGAAGTTTATCCAAAAAGCTCTTGTTGCCAGCAGCTCTGTGACACCTTTGCCTCAGCTCTGCAGTCACATCTGAGGGGGACCCCTCAGGCGACCAGAGCTACGTCTCCTCGGCCGCCGAGCCAGAAATCCCTCTCGAGGACTGCTCGCCACACACGCGCCTCTGCAATCTGTCCCGCTAGATGCAGTTAAGACCATTAGGGGAGCAACATCTCGGCACGTTAATCCAGGTTGTGTAATCATCCTGCATCGACACAGGCAGGACAGAGACGGCGAAGCCGGGGAGCCGCGCGGGACGTGTCCTCGCCTATCTGCTCCGCTGCCGATGCTCCCCGCCTCTTCTACAGCCGGATTTTCACCGCGAAAGGACAAAGGTCAGTGGCTGTTCGGGACACGGCACAACCCACAGGCTGTCAGGCTCCCTATGCAGCTTGCACGGACATGTCGCACGCCCAGAGGTTTTTTTCCCCCTTGGCACAGCAGCGACCGCCTCATGGAGCACAGGCTCTATTAATATTTTACCACCGGATTCCACTCTGTCCTCAAACTGTTTTGCAAGCAACCCGGATCAGACACAATGTCTCCCCAAATTAAGATATAAATGTCAACATGAGGCACAGCAACATAAGCATATCGTGCATGCCCAACAAGGACAAGGAGAATTTATTTGCCTTTGTTCCCCCCACCATGTATCTACAACATCCTTTTCGCCGCCCGAGGAAGAAAACAACAACAAAATACTTGCGAGTTTTCATATCATCATTATTCAAACAGTGACGAGGTAGCTAGAAACACAGGATAATAGCAACACACCTTTATGAGTAAGGAGATTAAACTCTTAAATGTGTTCCTTCCTCAAGCCTCCAGCATTTGCCAGTCTCGCACCAGCTGTGAGAACCAGCACCAGCAACTCACACCATTTCTCACTGTCCTACCAAACTAGAAACAAGGAAGAATTAAGAAAATGCTTCTTCACATATGGTTTCTGCCTGAAGCAGTATCTCCTCAGTGCACAGGTTACAATCTCACGAGAAACAGCGACATGCACGCACGCACAAACACGCTACCCAAAAAAAACTTTCCTTCATTTTCCCATCTTCCTGTTGCTGTCAGCTGCTTGAGACCAGGCCCTCCCATGCGATGCAAACAAGGAAACACATCTTTGTGTTTCAGCTGCGATTCTTTTGTTGAAATAACATGGCAGCTAAAAACAGCCCTTCCTCTTCCCTGGAGCAACGTCTCATTGCGCGCACCCTTTATGCATCCGAGGACGGTAATGACTATCCCAATGCTAAAACCCAGTATTCAGCACGGAGACCACAACAGCCATGAGAAATTCCGTAAGTCACCTTCAGCATCCAATTCTGAGTATCCCATGGGGCAGAGGGAACCCAGCTGATTTCATTTTTTCCCTCCAAGTACCTCTGCTTGGGAGCTTTCCACATTTGTTGCTTTCTGCCCAAGCCCACCGCGCTGCGCAAACAAGCAACCGCCATTCTCCCTGCACAGACTTTTGTTTTTTCCCCTTTTTTTTTTGCACTATGTCCTGCGGCAGGAAGGTAATAACTGACCAGGGCAAAGGACATATTTACTGTCTCCATCTTTCATTTGTTCAGGTATACATGCAGCCCAGAGAGAAAAGCGAAGCAGGGGATTACCATGCAGAGGGACACCGGCACTTCGCTCCAAGGCTGAAGATCAGCTCTAAAGGCTTTGGCACATTACACCATTTACTTTCACACATAGAAACTGCTTTAACTTTTTCCTCATGACCTCAGGCCTTAAGATCAGGCTTTTAACATATCGGGTTTTATTTTTCCCAGCTAAGGCTTAAACGGGCAGCGTCTTCCTCCTAGAAAATTAGATAAATGGGTAAAATCACGCTCCCCAATCAAGAAATTCACAGCTTGTAGAATTTATTCAATCTTTCACACTCGGGTATGATTTTCAATACCGCTAGAAGAGCTTTGTTATGAACTGACATGCGATCATCACATGCCCGTATTGATGCGCGTGTCCGTGCCAATAGCTTAAATCACTTGATCTCTGAACAATTCTATGACTCACGACATATGCATCCCATAATTTATCATGTTTGTGCTATGGAAATGCACCGGAGCAGCATCGCCTCAGCAACATTTACAAGTCACCTTGGCAACAAAGCAGCTTCGCGGCTGCTCTCAGAATGCCCGGCAAAACCTAAACGAGATGGGAGAGAATTAAAGCGCTTCCACTTTACTCCTTGGCTTTAATTGCTCATTAATTAGCTAACGTAGCTACCCCCTTAAATTGGGCCTTTTTTGAAAAACAAAACGGAAAACAAACCCACCTTTTTTAACCTTCTCCAGAATGCACGATGAAGCTTAAGAAGGCTCTGGGTATGGCAAAGCCATGCGCTGCCAAGTCAGAGGAAAAGTTTAAGGAATCGGATATCGTGCCTTCGTTTGCTTCCAAAAAAGTCTGTACACGTGCTCTACAGCTAGGAAAATGAGCAAGTCCCGGGGCAAGCTAAAAAAAGGAGTTCCCATCCCATCAGATGCCTCTGTAAGCATCACCTGCCTGTGTTATTTAGGCTTTTGTTGTTGTTGTTGTTGTTGTTATTGTCGTCGCACTGGTAGATTTAGAGGAGCCGAGGGGGCGAGCAGCTGCTGGGCCCCCGCTCAGCCCCTGAGCTCCACGCCAGGCACAGCTGCAGCCGTGCCGAGGCGGCCGCGGAGGAGCCCTGCGAGCCGGCTCCGCACCACAATCACGGTTTCGGTTGCGGTTTTCCTCTTCCCCAGCGACACCGGGCAGGTGAAGCGCTTGCAGCAAGGGTCGCGCCTAACAGCTCGCCGGTTTTGCTCTTAAGTTCCCCGCTCGCACGCATGAAGGGAGGCCGCTTTGCTTTCAGCCAGCACTGGACGAACGCTACATAAAACGAGGTGAAACATCTTTTCAGCAGCAAGATTGCTTGCAGGAGGCAGAAAGGAAAACAGAAGAGGTTGCAGACCATCAGCTAGTTCCCGTTCAAGAGCTTTAAAGCCAAACGCACCAACAGCGTGGTTAGAAACCGGAGGGAAAGGGAAAGCAAGCAATAAGTAGCCCTGGCTCTCGCTGGTGATAAATGAAGGGGAAAAGCAGGCAGAGCGCATTGCCCCTTTGCCAGTTGCTCGGCGAGAGATGCGTGAAGACCGCTGGCGGCCCAAGCCCCACCAGAGCCCAAGCCGCTACACTAGAGGCATTCAAGAAGTGTGCAGCTTGGCTTCCTGATTTATCAGCTGCTATCCCAAGGGGCAGGAGGTGAACCACCACGATAAAAAACTTTTACTGAGAACTGAATCTGTACAAGTAAGTACTCGGGGCTGTACGGCCGGGGATACGGAAGAGGAGCTCCTTCGGCAGAACAGATCTGCACTTTTAGGAATTTAGACATTCGGCCAAACTCTGAAATAGCCTGTTAAGTCAGAGCTAATTAGAAGATGAGCGGAACGAACGTAAGACCGAACATACTTTCCCTGCTTCCAACAGTTATTTAATAGTCTCGAACACATTTTAGCCAGCAGATTCAAGCGCTGGAGACCTCACTAAACGATGAATTTAAGGACGCACCGTATCATCAGCCTTTTGCAAGGATGGGAGGGGGGGTGTTTCAGCAAACCATGCTCTAATGCTCCTCCTACCTGCAGCCCCCGCCAGCAGCATGCCCCACACCCCCAAGCAGGCTCTCCCTCCATCCCCTCCACCCATCCCTGAGCCCGCAGACCCCTGTCCCCCTTTCCCCACCCCGAACCCAGCTCACTCTGCTGCCAGAGCAAGCTGGTGCTGCTGCTCTTGACGCCTTCCAGCACACACAGGGTGGGGTTTAATGGAGGATGTCACCAGGGTGCCCGGAGCCATCCGAGAAGCAAGGAGGGCGGCAGCCTGCCGAGCTCTCGGCTTTAGCACGGGAACCGCAACGGCAGCGGTGCCTTCCTCCCCGAAGCTGCCTCGATAGAGCTCGGAGAAGGGAAAGCGTACTTAGCTTCTAGGAGTGCAGCCTCTCCCCACCCTGGTACCTTCTCCACTTCCACAATTAAAACTTTCCCTTGCTATTTTGCCAGGCCGATTTTTGTTGAGGCTGTTATTTCAGTGACAGCAATACCACAGTAACCTGATTTAGGTGAGTAACCGAGCAAGTACGATTGACCAGCATGCTCTCTGCCAAAAGCATTAAACAAAGACCAGAACAATAATTCAAAGTTATTAAATTGGCTGAATGAAATTTTCTAGTAGCCCTACTCATGAATCTCCACCTACGGAAGAGCACACTTAACCACCGAGTTGCACAGTTCACGCGCACACACACACGCGCGTGCGCACGACGCAGCCTGCAGCGTGTTTCCTCTTGTTTTGCAATACTTTCAGCTTGGATTTTTTTTTTCTGAGTTGTTAAAAATAAAGTAGCAGCAAGCAGAACTGATCCATTCCTTAATTATATAGGTAAAAGAAAAAAATTTGGGAAACTGATGGAAGCCAGATGACTCAAAAAAAAAAAAAGAAGTACTTTTTCTTGCATACAGTAAAAAAAAACAAAACAAAAAAACAACATTTATTTATTTACTTTTAAGTTTGTCTTGCTCTTAGAGCAGGGCTGCTAGCACACATTTTCCATAGCCCTCTGATACCTTGCCGCAACCTAGAGGGAGCAGCCAGCCCCATGGGAAATTTCGCAGGGATGACCTGCATCAGCCGAGCGCACGTACCCCGCCCCAGCCACTGCAGCAAGAAGTCACCCAGGCAAACTAGCTTCTCACAGTCTGGAGTTTTACAGCCAGCTTTTACGGATAAGCCAGCCTGGCAGATCACACCCTTTCGTGCTCCCCATCACCCTTCAGTCCTCCATCCTTGCTTTGCCTGGAAGCTGCAATATTGGCATCTCCCAGAGCTACAGCACCCTCAGGAAGCTGGACTCCTTGTTGCCTCTCACTCTTCCCCCACCTCCTTTCTGCATTTAAAACATAGCCTTAGACCTTTGCTTTCAACTGGTTGACGTGGTACCCCACCAATTAAAAGGACGATCTCTTTAAGACAGTAACTTCAGCGGCAGTTAACTCTCCTGAAAAGCAAGTACAACCGTAACCAGTGACTTGCAGACCCCAAAACAAGCACGGAGAGCACCAGCCACGGCAGCTCCGTACCGGCAGAGCCTGAGGTCAGTGACTTTAACGAGCAACACCGCGAGCACACGAAGATTACGCTGCCCGCGCAGCGTTGCCGCAAGCTGCCGTGGCAGAGAGACACGTACGCGCTTCAGAAAGCCATCTAAATTCGCTTACATCTGTCATTGTCATTTTGGTCAGCAATGGCATCTTCCAGAGCGACAGACTTTGGCTTCTTTTCACTGTTTCCTTTCAAGTTTTCCCAGTCTGCCTGGCTGAATCTGCAGACCTCTGAGTCTTTGGTAGCTGTTTGGCCTTCTCTCTCTTTCATCTCCAACTCTGAGAAGCGCATCATTGCACGCTAGAAAGAGAATTGATATGAAAAAAAAAGTCTTGCGATAAAAGCTACTTCATTTACCTTACCTTATATGAAAGCATTTCCAAAGAAAAATCAGCTCAAAACCAAGGTTTGAGATAGATAGCTAGGGTAGGAGTTTAACACACCTGACTTGCAAAACAGCATTCTAGCATCTCTATGCAAATAGCCACACAATTCTTTCATCTATAAGTGTATATATATAAAAAAGATATATATAAACGTATACTGTATATAAAACAAAAACATTCCATTTTGGAGGTAAAAAGAGACAAAACAAAAAGAAAAAAAAACAAAAACAACACAAAACCGTACAATGAATAGAGACGACTATGGCCCACAAACTTCCCTTTGTGTATTTGGAAATGAAATTTAACTCAAAGGTTTATGTAAGAGTCTAGTAATAAAAATTGGAAGAACTGACCTCACAGTAAGCAGCAGGTAGACATAAAATACTGTCCTCTTGTAATCCTTCCATCTATGTAATTAAAATGGGCACTCAATGGATCATTTAGATAATTTCATCCATTTTTATAAGCATAAACCAATTCTTTTCTTAACAATGCAAAACAATTTGGCTTAACTCATCCCTTCATTAAAATACCTTAAGGATATTCCTATACAGTATCTGTCTGTCATCCCTCAGCATCAACTTCAGTACCGCTCCTACCCTTTCCTACGCGTTCGCTTGGCGCAAACGTTGCCTGAGACCCGCTAATACATGGCTGTGACTCCTCTCCATCAACGGCACATTTGGCATACTAATCGCAACTTCTGGGTACGCTTTGCGAGCCGGCGCTACAGGCCAGCTGAGAAATTACAGCCATCGCTGGCGCCAAGGTAACATGCATACCTGTCCGACTCCCCTCCGTAACTGCACAAACATTTCATACGTAAATTAACATTTTTATCAGATCTTAGTAAAAGCCCTCTAAAGCTTACTAGCGCGTGCATACGTAAAAGCCATACATACTATTCTTTACATCGCCTCGCTCTCGTTAACAAACTTACTTTGCTATTTAAAACGGTTTCTGGCGAGTACGCCCTAACAGAAAAATTTCCTATTTCCCCACCTGCGTTGCTTCTCTCAACTTTAATACTTGACTGCGACTCGCAACAGAGAAATAACGACAAAAAGCGCGGCGGTCGTTGGACCGCGCGGACTCACCTGCAACGCCCGCTGCTCCCGGCTGAGCTGGCTGGAGTCTGCGTACAGTTCGGTCGTCACACACTTGAATCGATCACCTACGTAACCGGCAGAGTTTGCGATCCTCTTGGCCAACTTAGACGGCTTGGGTTTCAATATTTTGCCATCGGCAGATTCTGCGTCGTCGGCTCCGTCTTTGGTATAGGTCTGGCTGGCGTCCATGCTCGGTGGCGCGGTCCCCATGCAGAATGGCTTCGCGTCCTCCTGCACTTTGCCAAAAGCCAGAGCTGGAGCATCGCTCTCGTGAGCGCTTTCCAAGAAAGCGGGTGAAGGCTGGACCGTCACTCTCTCTTTAGGCTGGCTCACAGATAAATCTTCTTTCCTCAAGCCGAACACTGATGAACTCTGGGCTTGCTTGAAATTATAGGTTTCATGAAGATCATTATTTCTTCCAAACTCCTCTCTCATTACAATAAAATCTCTGTGCTGCGACGCCTGCTCTACCTTGTGCTTTGTAGGGTCATTAGCCTGATTACTGCTTTCCGTAGCAAAGCCGGCTTTCGTTACGTTTGCTTCACTTTTAACCTCTTGCTCGTCTCGCAGAAGATCCGGGAAGAGGTGTTTGTCGCTTTTGGCCGAGATTTTACCGTGGCTGGAGCTCTGGTGCAATTTCACGCTCTTGTCGCCGGGTACTTCGAAATGCATCTTCCCGCTGTTCTCCAGGAGCTCTGGCAACCGACCCCGCAGAGCCGGGTCCTCATAGCGGACCCTCTCGTGAGACCGCGACCTCCTTTCCGCCTTCTCCTCCTTATTGATCTCCAAAGCCGAATGCTGCAGCAGCATGGGGTGCACCATCCCCATCCCCAGCGCATCCTGGTAGGTCATGAATTCCCCCCGCCCCGCCGGCAGGCTGTAGGGGAGGCCGGGTTTGGGAGCCAGGTGACCGGGGTAGAGGCTGCCGTTGGGCAGCAAGACAGGGTGCGGATACACGTGTCCTTTCCCGTGGAGGGAGAGAGGGCTGATGGCTATCCCCTCCGGCACCGGGTACGGGAGGTAACTCCTGGGGTAGGGCAGAGGCGGGGAGCGAAACGCCTCGTTGGGCGGCAGGAAGATGGGGCTGGAGGCCAGGGCGGTCTCGCTCGCCTTGAAGTTGGCTTCCTGGCTGCAGGATTTGGCCACCTTATTGCTGTGTTTTGCGGGGGTGGCGACTGGCTGCCCGACGTGCTGTATGACCGAGGCGGTGCTCTCTGCAGAGCTCCTGGCCATCTTGGCGCAATCCACGTTGGCGTTGGGAGCTGGCGACGCTGACGCCGGCCGCCCCCCGGCCGACACCGTCCCCGAAACACTGCCGACGACTGCCTCCGTGCCGCCCATCCTGGGGCAGGAGGAGCTCCGCTGCTGCGGGATCACCCAGTCCAGCGCCTTGTTTTTCAGCTGGGCGGTCTCGCTCTCCTCACCAGGGCTGGGACCGGGAACGATCCAGGAGGAAGGTGCCGTGCTGATAATTTCAGGTCTGTAGATGGGGCAGCCGTTGCCGGGAGAAATGGTTTCTTTCTGAACGATGTCGCTGCTGGGCAAGTGCGTCCCCCCTCCCGCCCTGCCGTGCACCAGCACCGTTGGCGTCATTTTCTTACCGTGGTCTGACTTGCTGGCAGTCTCCGCGTCGACGACTTTCGCCGACAAGTCCAGGGGTTTGTCGGTGACGTCTTTGGTCGGGGTCTGTTTTTCCAGGAGCGGGGGGGACCTGCCGTCTTTCCGGTCGTGGCCAGCTTTCCTCGCATGGGGGGCGGCCGGCGGGGGTGCCTCCCCGGCATCGCTGCCTTTGGGAAGCTTCCCGTTGGAGAGGCGGGAGGGTGGAAATTCGCCGCCGACGTTCACGTAGGGCTTTGGGAGGGTAACGGCAGAGGAGGGAGAGGTGGTGATCCTGGGGAAGTGTTTGTGGAAGTCGGCGTAGGCGTCCCCGACCTGGGCGGGCAGGGGGAGGCGGGGGGACGGCCGGGGCGAGCGCGGGCGTGCGCGTCGACGGGGGTGCCGGGGCTGACGCCCATCTTCCACGACAAGCTCTTATCCGGACAGTGCACCAAAGGCGGGATGGCCGGTGAAGCCGAAGCAGTCGAGAGCCTCATGGGTGATGCCAGTGACGAAGGGATGTGGGGGGCAACGTAGTGGGAGGGAGGCAGGTATAAAAAACGTTCACCGTTCGTACATACGGGCGAGTAAGCCAGGTGCTGCGGTAAGCTGTAGGTGGACTGCTGAGGTAGCAATGCCTTGTACATGTTCAACGAATACTTATTTGGTGAGTCAAGGAAAGGGTATATGGTGGGCGTTGCGCCCTCCATATAGGGGTTTACCCAGGGGAGCCTTAGGTAACTAGCACCATTGACACCGAGGGGACTCTGCTTGTCACCCGCAGCTCGGTCCAAACCCAGCGTTTCCCCCGTCGGGACAGAGTTTTTTTGTATTCCAGGTGGCGTTTTGTATATAGCGCTGAAGCCATTCGGGGCTTTTCCAGAGACAGCTGCGTTTTCTACCGCTTCGGGGGGATTAGATTTAAACTGTATCTCTGGATTTCTTTCAGGAGTAAATCCAAGCCCGGCTATCGAACTCGTAGCATCTCGTGATTTTTCCGAGCCGAGTCCGCACAAGCTGGAATAGACAATACTACTGGGGACTCTGAGTCCTTCTCGCATGAGTCCAGACCTGTCCATACTCAGAGCTGCGAGACTGTCAATGCGATGTGCTGTAGTCGCATCCACCTTTACAGAACAAGAAGTATGTTACTTTCACATTTCGCTACAATGACTACCGCTCAAGCTATAGACATGTCAGCGTTTGGAAGAGAAACAATACCAATGCAAACACGCTGTTAGTCGTGAAAACGTACAGAGGCTGATGGGGTTGGAGAATGGGAGAACAGGAACCTAAGGAGCAATATCTATCACTGCAAAAGTCAATACAAATCTCTCCGCATCCAAAATTCATCAGCTAAAAACAAAGGCGTGAGGACCCACAGCCCAAGCAGCCAGAAGTGGCCCAGGGACGATGCTCGGTGGCACCGCTGCCGTGCAGCAACCAGCTCCTCAGCCCCAGCCCCGCCAGAGCAAGAGGATGCGGGCTGGGGCATGGAGAACGGGAAGGGAAGGATGGAGAGCCTCTCCTCCTCCAGGACCTCTCCCCCCCCCCCCCCCCCCCCCCCCCCCCCCCCCCCCCCCCCCCCCCCCCCCCCCCCCCCCCCCCCCCCCCCCCCCCCCCCCCGCAGCTCTGCTGCAGGGCTTGGCACCGCCACATGGTTCACAGGGTGAGGCGGCTGAGGACGCAGCACGAAGAAAGGTCCGCCATCGAACTTCTTCCCTGCTCGCCGCTCCCCGCGTACGCTCGCAGGAGAAAATAATCAACTTTGCTGAAATGTTGACGTTCTTAACGCTTACATGAACTATTCTTGTTACACGTGACGGTATGCTGCGTGACATTATTCATAACGGAGCAAAAGTAAGAGTACAATGTCATACAACACACACCACAAAGTCACCCTCAACAGATTAATGAGATAAATAAACAAAGTCCTATTTCACTGTTTCACAGAAACAACTCTTATGTGCCCAAGCCCGGCTAGCGCTGCAACAGAAAGGTATTTTAATAATTTCTCCAAATGGATCATGTAATAACACCCAGGAGTGGGAGACGGGGTGGGGAGGACAGGCACAGATTCAGCTGCAGCATGAAGCTATTGACTTCTTACCACACTGTGATTCAGGTGATTTTCTTCCCTCAACTCCAGTCTGCTTTTTGGTGCATCGCCATCGTTAACGGGAATTTTCCTATTAAGAAACAGAAGCTGACTATTTGAAAACATCCTGCGCATCTCAGATCAGTACAAGATTTTATCACCTCCATATTTTGATTCCCGTAGAGAAGTCCTATATGATACCGTATTTATCCTCCTCCGTACCCATGCACAGCGACTACTTTAGAAAGCAATGACCATTCGAAAACAAGTATAAAGGGTTTTGACAGCAAGAAGACACCGAGCACACCTCAGAGCAGCCTCTTCCAACACAAGTGATCTTTGTCAAGGTTTTCTGTTCTGCCCCTTGCCCTTATTTTTTTTTTCAAGGAGAGAATACACTATTTTAAACATACCCTGTTCATGTACCACCCATAAACGCTGCCGAGGAGAAAATTAAAACACACACGCTAATATCATAGGAACATCAGCTGTTCCATGCTAAAGAGGGACCTGCACATCTGTGCCATACCAGTGTTGCAGCACTGGGACTTGTTATCACAGAAAGCACCGATAAAGAATATACCTTAGTGCCAAATTTCAAATCCCAGGGATAAAAATCGCTGACATGCAGCAGAAGGAAAGTTTCAGCATTACCCGAAAGAACTCCTTTCAACCAAAGTGCTTAAAGGCATATCATCACCTCAGAGTACAAATGCGATTTTCATGTATTTGTTTATTCGTTTTTAAAAGATTCACCTTTCGTGCAAGTGACACGTAAAAATATTATGCCTAAATAACTGAGAGGAAAGCGGGAGGAGAGGGTGCAAAGGCAGAGTGAGAGGTTTGGCTGTTTTCCTCCAGTTCATGTTTGCAAATAGTTTGTCCCTGCAAAGACCAGAAACTTTCCCCAGCTTCTGGGAGGCTTTTCACACAACGGTGAGAAGACGGGCTCAAAGAAAAGGCAGAAAAACATTAAAACCACACAAAATTGGCACAGAGAACTGCAGGCGTACCTGCAGCTTCTGTTCAGTGTCGTTTCGCTTTTTAAAAAGCTGGGGTTTAAGGGAAGAGGACGCCAGCTGGTGCCCGCGTCACCCCATTGAAAATTATTAGAGATCGCAATTTTAATCATTGAATGAAGGATAT